TCTACAAGATTTTATTAAGACAACTACTTTGTGTTTTAAGTAAAAAATAATTCTAATTTTATTCTAAATTGATTTATACAAAAAAATAAGTTTTGAAAAATTTGTTGATTTCCCCCTTTTTTGTAGAACACAGCCCATATATTCTAATTCGATATGTTTTTGATAATCAAATTTTTTACATTCAAATTCTAACTTTTCTTTTTCTAAATCGTACAGTTGTTTCTTTGTTTGTGCAGCTATTTTTTTACTTTTGCTAATTTTATGAATATAAACTTCATCATCTTCACTTAACTTATATTTCTTTCTTTTTAATGAATGGTCTTTTTCTGATTGATTAGTATTTTTAGAAGGCTATTATACAAATTAAAGATTATTTAATAATAAAAAAAATAATAATTAACATTAAATAAATCTGTATAAATTACCTTTCCCATGCTATCGATTATATATTTTGGATTTACATTTTCACGGTTACCAAAAATTTTATTCATTTCTGTAAAGAATATCCATTTTGATACTGCTTTTCTGGTTTTATTTGTGTTTTCCTTCATATACTTATTAATTAACCATCTTATTTTGGTTGCAACTTGCAATCCAGTTTTTCCCTTGCCAAAGTAAAGAGCAGCTTTATAATAAAATTGGTTTTTTTTTAATTGATAATCATTTATATGATCAGAAAGATATATAAGTAGTGATTTTACAACAGAGTTAGGCCACAGTTTCCTATCATTGATATCTTCAGGTTCACTAGCATCTTTGATATCACTAAATAAATCAATATCAGATCTATTTTTAGGATTAGTTGAATTTGAAGAAGATGCAATAATAGGTGACAAAGGTTTGATATTAGAAGGTTCAATAACAGGAAATAAAGATTCGATATTTGAAGGTTCAATAACAGGAGTTAAAAGGTTTACAGAAGCTAAAGGTTTGATAATAGGATATGAAGATTTTATAGTAGAAATAATATAAGAATCATGAGAGTTATTTGAAGCAGCTGTATACAAATTAATATCAGAAGTAATTTTATAAGGATGATACAAATTATTTTTGTTTTTTTTTTCTTGATGTACTTTAAAAACTGGTTTACTTTGAGGGAGTATCAAAGATTTAGGAATTATTTTTAAAAAAATCCAATATTTTAAAAAGACAAAATCAGAATATTTATAAAAAAGAAAATGCTATGACAAATTAACAATACTTTTTTTACAGGTTTTATAAATCATTCAAAGAATTCCTATTTAATCAAATTCAGTTTCTAAAAAGTGATTATGCAAGTGATTAAATCAATTAAAATATATACACTGCTAGTTATTCCAATTTTATATACTTTGTTCTAATTATAATAATAGAATTAATAATAGTTATTAAAAGAAAACTAAAGTTTAGCGTATACTAACTTTATTTTTCTTTTCAGAGCTATCAAAATTGTTATAAAATTGATTTTTTCATTTTGATTAAATATAAGTAAAGTTATAAAAACTATCATTCAGATTAGGACGTAAAAAGTAATACAATTGTAAATTTTTATTAACGGCAATCACAAAACTAAAAAAGCTGATTAGTGTCTAAAATAAAAATGAAATCAGATAAGATTTTCTGTATAAGTGTAGTTGAAAGTAGTAATGTGGTAGAATTATCCTAATGAAGTCTCAATGAATTTTTGATACAGCAAATTAAATTACAGCTTTTTTGTAGCTTAATAAAAAGTTACGCTATGTTGTAACTTTTTATATCAAAAAATCTATTGGGACTTCATTGGGATAACTCTACTACATCACTAGTTAAGAGAAAACAATTGACTACTTGCCCAAAATTTTGGATTTAATATGATAAAAGATAAGTAGCGATGCAAAAAAAAAAAATTGGGCTTCAATCAAATATGTAAAACTTATCCTTGCATCACTATTACTGCATTGTATAACTATAGTGATACAATACAAATATAATTTTTTTTCTAATCTATTTTTATTTTGTGCTTACCAGGAATAAAAATCTATATCCCGTAACTTGCCTATCTGAGTAATTACTGTAATGAGGAACTTGTACTTTAAAAAGGACCAATAGTGACAAAAAATTTGAATTAATTTAATAAGATAGTTATTGAGAAATTAATTTTTAATTTATATAAATATTTTTACTAAAAAAAGTACTGTGTAATTTTTGCTTTTACTTAGTAAAAATATAGTCACACAAACCCTTTTTTAATAATAATTATTATACAACTTTAAAAATTAATTTTTCAATAACTACCTTATTAACTTAGATCAAATTTTTTGCTAATACTATAAAAATACTTAAATTTTAACATATTAATTTTTAAAAATTTTTAAATTTAATTTTGATTTTTTATTAATTTTTAACTAATTTTAATTAATATTAATTTTAGTAAAAAAAATTTGTTAAAATTTTTATTAAATTTTAGCTCTTATTTAATTTTTGTTATAGTGATTAAATTTTATAAAAATTTATATCTGATCTACATTTATATAGTACTATTTATAGTAAAAATTTTAAGACTCTAGCATTTTAATTTAAAAAGTTAAGAGGGTGGGGATACTTATAATTTTGACTATAGATATCCAAGTTTAAGTACTTATATACTCAATAAAAATGATTGGCAAATTTATAAAGATTTAATTCCATTATTAGAACAATTTAATGAAGCTACTATTGAACTTTCTTTACAAACTTATCCAAAAATTGCATATGCACAAATAATATTATTAGCTCTTAGAAATGAATTAGAATCTGATAGGGGTGATAATTTTTTATTGGAAGAAGTTGTTAATGCTATGTTATCTAAATATATTGAATATTTTAATTTAATAACTGAATCTTTACATATTTCTGCTTTTTTAGATCCTAGAAATAAAAAACTTTGTTTTTCTGATATGGCTATTAAAGAGATTTTAGCACCAATTAGGCAAAAAATCAATTAACAATCATCTATATTACTATCTAAAAAAATATTAAGTTTTTATCAAAAATTAAAAAATACATCACAACAAGCATAAATAATAGATGATGAAGCTCAGAAATATTGGTTATTTGCAGAAGCAGATGAAACTATAAAACTTTTAGATTGGTGAAATACCCATAAAGCAGAATATCTAACACTTTCAGAACTTGCTCATAATTATTTATATATTTAGACTAGTTCAGTTCCATGTGAACAACTTTTTTCAATTGCAGGTCAAGTAATTAACAAATCAAGAAATAGATTAAATAATAAATCTATAAAAGCATGTTTATGTTTACATAGTTGGTTATCAACAAATTATTAATAATTTTATTATATTTAAAATTATTATATATTATATATTTTTATTTACTATATTATTTATTTATATTTTAATAAGTTTTTTTCCCTATTGGGTTTTTTTCCTTGGCAATTTGCCTAAATTTTGATATTTTATTTTTATATTTATGTAATTATCTATTTATTTATTTATTATATATTAAATATATTTATAATATTATAAAATCTTTATAATTTAATTTTACAATCATGAAGTATATAGTTTATAGACATTTTTAGTGATATATATTTACCAAATCTTATATCTGATTGGGCAATGTCTAAATGCAGTAAAAACATGAATATTTGTGCTTAAACATCATGAAATACATCACATACTACTATATTTATGTCTTGTATAAGATTTGTTACCATATGAATATATCTTTAACAAGTTTTTGTTTTAATTAAAGTGCATGATAATCATTTATAAAAATATGCTTGCTGTATATTATTGTCTTTTAGAATTCATTAACCAAATGTTGATTTGATCTGTAATAGCTAAAATCAGTTTACAAGTCTCTTTCTTTATTACATAAAAATAATGTTATGAGAAAAATTCTGATGTGGCAAAGTAATGCTAATTATGCATTTTAATATATAGCGATAGTATGAGATTTGTTTAATTATAATGAATATTTAGCTTATATTTTTATTGCTTTAACAAGTTTTTGTTTCAATTGAAATGAATGACAATTGATGCTTTTTTTTATTATTGTTCTTCTAAATAGAACTAACCAATAAATGGCTTATTCTAAAGCCAGTTTTAGTTGTACAATAGAGCTAAACAAATCAAAGCCAATAAGCTGCAACTTAAGCTATAACTAGAATCAGATACCAAGTTACTTTTTAAAGTCATGGCTTTAGATTAAACTATAATTATTGAAGCTATGACTTATGTTATGGCTAGAGTACAACTTGGCTATGGCTTAAGCTATAGTAAATAATATTAATAAGTTTTGCATTAAATATTATTACATTGCTACAATAATAATAATTTTAAACCAATATAGTATTTAAAGAAGCTATACAAGCATTAGCAATCTTTAATAGATTGAAATTGGTCTACAAAATTCTTTGTCAGATTTTTACATGATATTTCAATTAAGTATTTTCTTATTCACTTAATTGAACATTATCAATTAATACATGTATTAATTAACTTCTCATTTCAATTTTATTCATATGATTTAAGATTCTCTCAAGCACATAAACTATAGATCAGAATTCAATTTTTAATTGGTGAAAAGTAGTTTAACCAGTAAGTAGGTTTATTATTGTGATAAAAAAAAAAAATTTGAAGCCACCTTTTTTTGTCGTAGACTTCAACAAAATTACAGTAGGGATCACTTCAATTGATCATAGTAATAAAGTAGTAAATAGAAGTAAATAAATAACAAATTAAATATAAAAGGATAAAGTACTTATGAATGATCTTGATAGCTATTGAGCACTCTTAGTCTAAGTTTAGTGTTTATTCATTGGTTTAATTGGTCCAAATATTTAATATAAGTTGTTTATATTTCTTATTCAAATTATGCAGATTGAATCAATGAATATCAGGTGTATACTGGAAGACAAGTTTTCTGATATGTATATAATCTGCTATAGATCTACCAAAATACTGCTAAATATCAGTAGCATTTATATTGGCAAGATATCAGAAGATAAATCAATATCAGCAGCATAGAAGCAAAATATTGATATTTTACTTTATACTCAAAGTACTAAGAGTAGGATATCTAGACACCAAATTCAACTATAATACATATTAATATAGCTATGCTGTATTTAGTTTTATACCCAATATTCATTTATCTGAATTCAAAACAATAGTTTATATAACTATTCTGTATTACAAATTAACAAAATTAAATTAAAGACAAAAATGACTCTTATGTATAATCTAATAATTTAGTTGTCATCTATTTATAGTTTTTAAAAATCGACTTTCATGTACATACTTTGTCTCTTTAATATTAGGTTAACTAAGATATGAATAATATCTATAATATAAGTATTAGTGAATCACTTTTACAATTTATTATTTATCAATTTAGCTTGTAAAAATTTAATTGTGATATATATATATTATATGTAATTAATATGTAATAAATATTATTATTATCAGGTTAGAAATAGGTTCAGTTAAATTATAGTTAGATAGCTAACTAGCAATATTCGAAGCAGATAATAGCCAACTAGAATGGCTTAGCAAACCGGCTAGCTAATGCCAAATTTTTTATTTCCTAGCTAATAAATTATAATTATTGTTTAATTTAGCATGAACTGCACAAATTGCAGAATTATTACAAGAAATACTCTAGCTATCATGTTATAGCAGACTCTCGATTATTAAAAAATTACTGCTTTATCTAATAACTAAGCAATTTTTTATACAGAATTTTAATAATAGTAAATTACGGTTTGAAAAATATATTCAATTTTAATAATTTTTTTATTTTATTTCTATAAACTTATAGAATTAAAATAAAAAATTTTTATCAAATTTGAATTAATGGTTGTTGAGAAATCTTTAAATTTTAGTGATTTTTCAACAATCTATCAAACTTGATAAAATTTTTTTTTTAAATTTAATTATCAGAGAAATCTTCACTAGAAACTTGCAAGTTTTTAAAATTCGTATAGCTGAATTCAATCTCAATCTAATTCTGGCAAAATTTGCAGATTTCCAATAGGCCAAATGATCTACAAATTTAACCAGAATTAGATTGTTTTGAAAATGTAGATCTTCAGTATTTTGATTATTTTGATTGGCTGTTTATAGCATGTGACCCGAATTTTTTTTTTGCCATAGCTAGTGTACACTAATATGTATAACTGTATAACATATAAAAATATAATTCTTTGAAATATAATTCTTTGGCACTTTTGATCAAAAAATTGATTAAGAAATTGACAATTAATTTATCGGCTATAGCCGGCTACTAGTCGATAGTCGATGATAGCTGACCGATAGCTGACCGTAGCTGACCGAACCCATCCCTACATGCAAGGTTATGCAGGACACTTTTATTGGCATATATTTATTATAAGTTGTCCCCCCCGTAATTTTACCAACCCCTAGATAGTATTATTGATCTCTGAAAACATTAAATTTCACATATTTTATTTGTATTTTCAAAATGCAGAATCAAATATAAGATATCTTCCCTAATAACAAACACATAATCTTTAACATAAAAAAGGATTTAATCAAGTTCAATAATTAATATGGAGTCATTTCAATTGAACTTTTAAAATCTGAAAATGATTTTTCCTCAAATCCACTAACAAGAAATGTTTCACCTCTATTTCTTAATGCAACCGCGTTATACGGATTTAGTTTTAATGATTCGTTTAAATCTGTAAGAGACTCTTTGTATCTGCCAATTTTACGATAAGATTCCCCACGAAGACATAACGCCTCTGCATCATATGGGTCAATTTCCAAAGATTTGCTTAAGTCGTCAATTGAATCATCATACAAACCAATCGAAAGATAAGATTTAGCCCGGAATTTTAATGTAGATACATCATTAGGATCAATATGTAATGATATATTAAAATCTCTAAGAGACTCTTGATATCTTCCTAACTCTTGGTAAACTTTTCCTCGACACCTTAGTGCGAATGAGTTAAGTGAATAGAGTTTTAACGAATTGTTTAGATCTGTAAGTGATTTTTCAAATTTGTTCATCATGCGGTAAGTTTCACCGCGGTTGATTAATGCAAGTGTAAAATGAGGTTCAATTCTTAATGATTTATTGAAATCAACAAGAGATTCGTTATATCTTTTCATTTCACGTAAAGTTATACCGCGTTGGACTAACAAAAAAGGCTCATCTGGTTCAATTTCTATTGCTTTATTTAAGTCCACAAGCGATTCATCGTATCTTTTCATTACGCAATAAGTCATTCCACGATAACATAATGCATATATATTTTCAGAGTTCATTCCTAACGCCTTGTTTAAATCAACAAGCGATTTATCATATTTTTTTAAATGGTAATAAACTTTTCCACGACTTCTCCATATATCCGCATCATCTGGTACCAATAATACCAATTTGTTTAAATCTACAAGTGCTTCTTTATAATCACAATCTAATCGATAAATACGCGCACGGTGAGTTAATGCGAATTTAGAATTTGGATTAATTTTCAACGCAGCGTTCAAATCATTGAGAGAAAAATTATAAATTTCCAGATCGAAATAAGCAGCTCCACGCATACTTAAAAAACGTCCATTATTCGGATTAATATATAATGATTTGTTTAAATCATTAATTGAATCCTCATATCTACCCATCATTCGATAAGTATTTCCACGTTCACCCAATGCAGTTGCGTAAGTTGGAGCAATATCTATTGAACGATTAAGATCTTTAAGTGATTTATCATAATCATCTAAATGACAATAAATGGAACCACGTAATCTTAAAGTCAATGGATTATTTGGCATAATTTCTAAAGATTTATATAAATCTTCAAGTGATTCATTAATTTTATTTTTTATGCGGTAAATTGACCCTCTAATCCTTAGTGCAGACGCGTTGTTTGGATTAATTTCTAGTGATCTGTTTAAATCTACAAGCGCATCATTATATTTTTGCATTAAATTATATAATTCACCACGAATCATCAATGTATCAGCATTATTAGGATCAATTTCTAATGATCTATTTAAATCAAAAAGTGCTTCTTCATATCTGAGTTGACTTTTAAGTAGACGATCATTATACAATTCAGTTTGGGAAAATTTTTTAAATTTTGCAAGCCATTTCTCACATTTACCCA